GAAAATGGTGCCTAGTATTCCACATTTTGGGTTTTAGGTACTTTGGCCTGTTGTTCAACCGGTGAAGACGACTGTAAGACTAAGTCACGTAAGATCCGTATGAATCGAATCATTCAGACAAGTAGCAAAGAATCCCAGATACACAATCACGAAGAAGTTGGCCCTCAGCTTTGCTTCGCGCAGTCGGATTGAAACATTTAACAAGGTTATAACAAACGGAAAAAGTTCGTCTAAATAAAAAACGAAGTCTATTTTGAATACTGGCAATCCGAAATTTTATTTTGTTATTTGCACCCGACATGTAAAAAAATAGTATTTTATTTCACAGGTGGCTGAAATAGACCATTATGTGCAAGTTGGTTAATTATTCACGAGTGCGTAAAAGCAAAATGCAACATTTTGAGCTTATTCTCTTCTACAAGTAGACATAAGATGAATGGTATAATATTAATTTCGGCCGTTTATTGGACGCCTCGGGGGTGTATTTGAGTTGACAATTGTTGTCTTGCGAGAAAAAAGATTAAAAATAAAGCTGCGAAAGCTGAGGACGATTTACTACAAGAAAGTGTGCATTATACTTTGATAAGTACTATGAATAAATGTGTTATGTATAAGTGTGTTTCTATGTATATTCCCCAATTTTTCAATAAAATAAAGTTTTGTGTGCGTCATATTGTTCACTTCTCCGCCAGTAGTTTTGCTACTGCTTATCTAGTTTACTACTAACTACAGCTACTCTATTATAAGGCTGTAAGAACTATTTTACCGACTCCGAACACGTAAGTTAAACATACAAATGCGATCGGATAAAATAAAAAAAAAAAAATATTTTTCTCACCGCTTCTCGTTTACCTATTAACACAAAATATTGCGAACTAAGTTATTCTTTTTGAATCCTGGAATGCTGTAAGTGAAAATGCTATTGTTTTCGTTTTTCTAACAGGTGTAATCACCAGCACTGAGAAGGGGCGTTCCGTATACAATGTACAGACGCAGAGACCTCCGATCGCGAAAGGGATCGATGACTCACAGATGGGATGGGATTCCACGTGAGTGAACAGTGTTGGCATCAATGAAAGAAATCCTAAGATCTTGACTGACAATCTCGCTTTGTCGTGATGATGTCGAACATTTGTTAGCCGTGGAGCCCAGGTTCGACATTTCTTGTGAGGAGTCGTACTTCTGTTTGCAGAGAAAGACAAAACATGTCACTCGTGTTATCCAGGTCTGCAGGGAAGTTTCCAGCTTGACAGGGATCAGTGTCAAGAGAAAATAGTGACAAAAAAGGAAGAAAAGGTCAAATAAGTAACATTAAAAATTGCACAATGAAAATCTGCTTAAACTACTCAAGAAGTAAAATAAAGTTATTCCTACCATTAAAACTCATCACAATAATAAAAGGCCATTTTGCCAAACTCCCTGGCTCTTGTGATGACACAGCAAACTTGAAACTACACACCTTGTCTCTCATTAGCCTTCAAAACTTTCCAACTACAGCCTGACTTCTATTTACCACACAGTCTCTACTATACCTTGTCAGAGTAACGTACTTCACCTACCCTAGCCACCTCGTGTTTGTGAATGTGCACTTCAACCAACATAAGTCCAGAGTAGCCATTGAAGTTGTGTCCACTGTGGACTTTATGCATGCACCCATTTTGAATAATGTGAACATTTTAAAAAACCTTTGTATTTTCTGTTGTAACACAAACATGCTAACTAAAAAGCTGACATTACTGTCACAAATCTCGTGTTATTCAAACCATTGTTCACACATGAAATTTGAAAATTAGGTAAAAGATGAAGAGGAACTGAAATACCTACAGTCAGCACATGCTTCATTTATCAGAGGCAACTTAATAGTTTCAAAGGGTAATACATGATTTCTGACAAATTATCTGTATTATTATCATTAATCTCAAAATATTCTTAATGCTTAAAATGAATATAACAAAAGACAAAAAGAAAACAGAACAGATGAAAGAAAAAAATAAATCTTACAACCCACGTAAGGATTTAACACTAGTACAATATAAAAAATACTTATCTGTAATTAAAACAAGGGACAATAGGATGAAAATGCTACCAGCTTACAAGTTTTAAAAACATGGAATAAAATTATCTTGGTTTTGCCTAATCACATTCCATAGTAGATAAAGGTAATTTCTACGCTGTCTAACAAAATCATCTTAAAAGAACTAACATGTTTCAAACAAAACTATTTCAGATCACATGGTACACTTTAGTTTTCTTTAAGCTAATTGAAATACATGATGTTCCAACTCTTTGGCATCTGAAATTTAATGCAACAAAAGGAATTCACACAGATCACTACACACAAAAATTTCCCTGACCCTTTTATGCATGGCTGATACAAACTTTATCCACTAGTTTTCATTGAAAAGCAACTAGAAAGATAGGGATTTTAGCTAAATGGCAGTCTTTTCCACGGTTTCCACATGTTTTCATGACAAATTCTTCAAAAGAATAGGTACTCTCAAATTCAGTGAAATAATAAACAACTGCAGGGCGCATAGCGATTGATTATGCTTCAATTTTAGACCCTTTCTTGACAATTTTGTAGTAATTTATAGCAGTTTTTGTAGAATATTCTAAGCATTAACTGTCGGAATGAATGTTTTTTTCAATGCTTAATGTAAGTCTTCTTTAATTTTTATTTTTTGCAGCATAAATTGATGAGGAATGGAGGTATTAGAAAATAAAAAATATTCATCAAAACATTTTTTAAATTTCCACATTACAGAACCCTTTTTTAAATTAAAATTTTAAAAAATATTGTCTTTCTTTTAAAGATTTATAGTAAAAATAAATTATTTACTGGGGGAAAAAAAAACAACTAAGCTGCTGGAAAGTTTTCGAACAACACACATACATGTAACTGAATTTTTATAGGAACTTCTATGCATTCATTGACTTCACAAAACTTGATGAACCAGGATTATGGAAAAGAATGGATAGTAACAGTTATCTGAATAAACGGAGTAAATAAATAGGTGACACTGTAATTACGTTAGTAATGGATAAGGAGGAGAATAACCTGTACAAATGAAATATGAAAATGTAATGCAGACAGATTCAACATTGTGATTACATAGGTAAGGAAAGCACACAAGCTTCACAAAACCTTCTCAAGCTCGGGCCATGGAAGTTATCTGAAGTTCTTTCTTCTTGTGAGTATTTTACAGCTCTTGCAACCATCACTCGCACCCAACTATCCATACCCCTCTACCATTCCAGTTATTCTCTTCTAGACCTCTTCTTTGCATATCTTAAAAAACCTGATTCTGCCACTCCTCCAATCCTTCTACCTCTTTTTCTTGTCTAATGGAAACTACTCGGCCCACTCATCAAATCAATTTTTTTCATGTGACCAAACCATTTCAGCCTTCGTGTTTCCAATTCATTTATAATAGATTTTTGAACCTGTATTTACTTAAGAATTTCTTCATTATTAATAGGTTCCATTTTAGATTCTCCACAACTTCTTCTCAATAAATTCATTTGTAGGTTCATTATTTTCTCTCTTTTTCTGAATTCCCAAGGTTCTGAGCCATATTGTGTTATACTGTGTATGATAGAGTCAAAGAGTCGTTTCGTAATAGACCTGGGTATTTCTTTGCCTCAGAGCAGCAAGTTTAACTTTTTAATAGTTAGTCGTCCTTGTGTAGTTTTCAAAACAGTATCTTTTCTGGAATTTCCTTCTTCGCTTATGATTCTTCCCAAATATTTTAATTCATGACATGCTTCTATCTGATCTCCATTTATTGGTATATGAATACTTTCTTCTCTTCCACTACCATATATTTTGTTTTGAGCAAATTGATCTTTAATCATGCTTTTTTGTATGTATCCTCAAGCTGAATCAAAAGTTACCATCCACAAATTACCAAAGATAGAGGTGATGTATTAAAAGGGCACTCAAAATAAATCAAACAAATAGTTCAAGATTTTGACTAAAATGCTGCCACAGTACATATTCTAATTCACAACTAACTAGATAATGTAGTCTATAAAGTACATGTGTTTCTTTAATGTTAAATTTTGGAAGCAAACATATCAACTATTGGTCTTTTATTACCATTAATGATTTTCCATAACTCCAGTTCATGATGGTCTGTGAATTCAAAGTACAAGGTTTTTACACGAGTTAAATGTATATTATCATTTTAAAACATTTCAGCAGCTTCAGATTTTGCTGGTATGACCCAAGATAATACAATAAGTTTTGTTATCCACTAACCTTGTACACTTTTTATTAAGGACAATCACATTTAAAAAATTTGAATTCAAAAATTTAATTTCTGGAAAACATATTCTGCAATTTGGAAAATTACAAAGACATATTTGTGAATTTTATAGATAGAGGTGATGAATCTCACTATAAATTCCTCTCCAATTTAAACCAAAATTATCTAAATTTAAAGATGTATACTGGGAATTTTAGTTGTTGTTTTTTTGTCCATCATTCAGGTATATATACTCAAAAGAAAGTACTACTTTGTATTTTGAAATGAACTGTTTTCTATAAGTCCATTGTTCTAAAAAGTAACTATCACTTTAACGAATCACACAATACTGATTAACACACAATGCTTGGATATGAAAAATACTAATTTGGGGTGATTAATTCAACATTCTCTGACATATACAGGCAGAGATAGCTTTGGGTTTTACAAAACTTCAAGGATGCAACTTGACAATTTCATGACATTGTCCAGTTGCAAGCTTTCTTCACACACTGGTGCACATTCTTGAAACAGATACACCAAGTGAACAAACGTAACAAAACAAATACATTCCTGACCAAAAACTTCATTCACCTACAATCATTCTTAAAAATACACAATGCACAGTGTTGTAAAATGTGCAGGAATTCATCAATGCATATACGACATACACTCCAACATCTAGGTCATACAACAATGAGCAAATAACTAATTTCAAAGCAAACACAATCCATATGTTTATGACTGTCATACATACTCTTGCTTCATTAATGCAGGATCTCGACTAGGTTCTCTTCGCCTCCTTGTTTTGGGGTCTTTATTTGGGGAGGATCTTTTTGATCTTTCCTTAATTTGTTTGTCCAAGTAAAATATAATGATACCCCCTTTAAAACTGTCCATAAACCCTTGCAGAACTGCTCTCATGATTCCCTAAAATAGCACACAATGAACACACGTTTTTGTAGTAAAGGTAGAGTATAAAGACAAGTATAATACTTGTAGTAAAAATCAATCTGATGCCACATATAGATATGATATTTGAAATACATAAATCACTGGTTCGCCGCGTGACATAAACACTTACAGACAAGTTCTCCATTTCAAAATAGAAAATATTCACAACACACGAGCGTGGATCATTGACAATCACTACCACTGTTACCAACTACAGCAAAATCACGATCTGTAACAAGATGACCACGCGCTAAAGTCAACAAATCTTTTCAGGTGTCGTCTTCGGTGTAATTCAACTATCTTTTTAAATGTTTCATATATTGAAACAAACTACAATGTCAAATTAGTGGAGCCACAGAATGGCGCAAACTTTCCTGTATAAGTTTTCTATCCCCTTTTAATCTCGGCTGGGTATACGAACTTGCCATAGTCTCAGCAGCTGCCATTTATCGCTGCCCTCAGTACGTTTTTAAAAACATTCTTAATTTTTCGGTTTCTTAATTTTAGAACGGAAATATTTCATAAGAATATTAAAGAACAGTAAAATCTTGTTCTAAGTGGCAATTTTCTTAGAAAAATATGGAGCTGTTTTTAAGAAAATGGCGCTTAAGCGTTAAAGTAAATTCGAAATTTGAAGATCTTTTTCACAGAATTTTTTCAGTTTTCAAAAATCTTCATTTTAAGTAATTTGAATCATATTAAATCGCAAATACAATAATGTATACAAATTGTAGGACGTGTGCATATTACCGGCATGAGAGAGCTTTCAAAAAAATACAATGGTATAATTTTTGAAAAAACAAAAAATACTCCGAAAGGAACTTTACGTCATATTGAAGAGTGCAATTAGTACTATCCGTTCGAAGTGTTTGAAGAAAAATTTGGAGCCGATTTTAACAAAATGGCATTTGAGCGTTTAGAAAACGCTGGATTTTGAGCTAATTTTCACAGAAAACGGTTGAGTATTCGAGAAACTTTGTAGCACATTATTTAAAGTACATCTACTCATAAAAGTAATAATGTGAACAAATTGCTACTATTGTTAATATTAACTTGCTAAGAGTCAAAGTCAAAAAGTAAAAAAAAAAAAATACATTTCGTAATTTTTTAAAACAAACAAAAAAGAAATATGGCATTTATGTTATCTTACAGAGTGTAGTTAGCACTATCCCTACTAAACGTTTAAAGAAAAAAGTTTGAGTCATTTTTGAGAAAATCTTTTATTTTTTAAAATTGAACATATTGGTCGGAATATTAGGCGAAAACTACTATGATTAAAAAAAATGCATCTGACCTTATGAAAGAACTCAATATCGAGAACAAATTTTATTTGAAGGAAAAATCTCTATTTTTTTAAAGGAAGGAATTATCTCTATCTTTATTGGGAAGGTTGTTATGTGTAGTTACAGGAAGACACAGAAAAAAATACTCTTGAAATTTTCGAAAACTCAGTGTTAACAGTGAAAATCGGACCTATGCCACTTTCAAAAGTGTATTTTACTCTTTCTTACAAAAAATTTAAAGAAAAATTTGGAGCCGTTTTTGAGAAAAATTTGAAAATGTCCTGAAGGCTTCATGTAAAGTACCCCCAAATTTTGAAGGATGTTTTTCAAAATCTCGAAGTTTCGACTCGAGCTCGATGGACACGAGTTTCTTCAATTTGAAAAAAAAAAAAGAAATCCTACACGTGGTTTAGTAGTGGTCACAGACACCAGGCGGACGGAGGGACAGAAGTTTTGAGGAAAAAAAACAACAAACTTTCTCGGTATCAGAGCACCCAAATACGTGTATTTTTGTTGAAATCTCGAAGTCGATTTTCCGCAGAATTCCATAACTTTCCCTATACTACGTATATTACTCCGTACATACGTACGTATACGGGAAAGTAAAAATGGAGAGGATTGTTTGAAAAGCAATACTAAAAAATGAATCTGAGGGAATGTCTATAAAAACAGTTTGAAGAAATATTGTAGTGTTATATTCCCTAAACCATCGTACAGGTTACCCGTATTATATTACTTTCATTACCTCACGAGCATAGGAAATAGTATAAACAGTTGGGGGATATGAATGACACCACATAAAAACGTCAAAAATGTTTCACAAAACCAATGGTGTAACTAGCCCTTCCTGGGCTCTGGTTCAAAACTAAAACTACCAAAACTGTAAAAAAACGTGTCCAAATAAAAAAAAATAGTACTGAAAGCTAATTAAAAGAATCTTTATTAAAATTAATCAATCACAAAATTTCGAATACAGCCTTGAGGACTTTCGCTTTGACGAGCTTATCTATAACTTCACCTAGGTTCGCTTTGAGCGATTTCGTCACTTTACCCTCTATGGCTAAGGTTTTATTTTTAATATTTTTAGAGGGGAGTCCCAGGGAGAAATCACCTATGTGATATTTGAATCCTTGGACTTTGACCTTTTCCTTCTAATGTTTCAAATCACGTGTAATGAAACACAAAATAGGGCCCCTCAACACTTTTAAATGAAGAAATAAATCATTTGAACCCCGAGATGTGAAATTACAAATTCAGAAAATATCTTTGCGTCTTCATAATAAACTATGTAATTCAAACTTTAGACTTGTCTATTTACGGCAAATAAAAAAATCGCTTTCAGAAAGGACCTTTAGTTAGCCAAAAAGAAAAATTTGCTGCTGGGGGCCCCTTGCGTCCGGGTGTCCCAGGTAATTGCACCTACCGCGCCGGCGGTAGTTCCGTCAGTACACATAACTTAATAGCAAATGAAAGCCCACAAATCATTTTAAGCCCACGTTCTCGATTCAGACCAGGCATTCTCAACCATTTTCTTGCATAGATCACTTTTAAAAGAATTGTTTGCTTCATCGACCCCTTATATTTTTTCTCTATATAGCATACATAAACACATCACGAAAATATAACAATTCCGTGTACCAATAATCTCATAAATATCTCGATCTTTCGAAAGCATTTGACCAGAGCCAGAGTAACAAAAAGGGGGAACCCTGGGCTGATAATATGTGGGGCCTCATAGGTAGTAACAAATTTGTATACTTGCAATATAAATATATATGAATCAAATAGTTTCCGTACAATATAACATTCTATGCGATGTGAACTTTTCGCACTTTTTCTTGGACAAATTTTTCTATTATTTCGTTGAAATAAATTTCGCGCAAACGTCGCATTCTAAACTCATTCAAATAAGGTTCGAGAGACGATTGTCATCCATACAGTTTACAAAATTACCTCTCGTCATCATAGTTTGTAGAAATTAACACTAAATACATTCATACTACATAATTTCTACATTTGGAAAATTTGTTAAAAAAAATGTCTACATTTGAAAATGAGTCTTTTGCGTGTTTAGATAAATCATTCGGTTCCATTATATCTATACAGCTGAGGAATTCGAATCTTTCGCATACAACGCAGTACGCAGATATTCTGTTATTCAGTGACGAGAGAGCTGATCAATGACTGATTGAATGAAAAATTTACGATAATAAATCTTTCTCTTTGTGACAGCTGAATTGCGGGAGTTGCCACATAATCCAATGGATTTAACCAAACGTTTCTTTTCCTAACCTAATGTTTCGTACTCATTGAAATTATTCATTTTAGATTCAAGAAACATTTTCAAAGACTGCAGCATCGGCACAGCTGTATGTAAAGTAATTTTTGGATCTTGCAGAGATCTGCTAGTTGCATCGAATCGCTCTAATATATCATTCCAAAATATAGAAAATATGCCAATTTCTAGAGTGGCAAGATGGTGGCAAGAACCTTGAGACTGAACTCTTTCAAATGAATTTCGTACAGCATCATCGCAGATCTCAGCAAGAATAGATTTAATGTCATTATAACCTCATACAATTTGCTTTAACTGCATCTGCTCTGCATGACCAAGTTTCACTTACATTTTTTGAAACATAAACTGTTCCAGTCTTTGATAAATTTGTATTAACAAATTATATTATTTAGTAGATGCAAGAAAATACACATATATTTTTAATTATAAACGAGAAATATTTACATGTCCTGTTCCTTTGTTTGCATGTTTTTCAATATGATTAGCCAAACCGGATCATATTTTGCCAATAGTTTTAAAATTCCAAAAAAGTTTCCATTATTTGGAGATCCAATCAGTTCATTATCTCCTCTAAAGAACAAGTAACGGTAACAAAGCTCGGTAAGGAACTGTATCGTGTCAACACCTCGTTGAAGAACTTTATTCCAGTAATTACTAATCTTTGTACTCTGATTTGTCAAATCATTTTCTATTTTTCCTAATTCACTAGTTCGTCTTGCTAAAACTAATATATTCTATATGACCTTTAGACATTTCGTGCTCCCTTAAACGGTCTGATACGTTTCCAATCATTGTTCCATCACTGCTCAAATCAGACTTTTCAATAGCTAACAGTTTGCACACGTAAAAATAAATTTTTCCTGTACTTGGAGAAAAATACAGCCAAAAACGGGGAACAGTTTCCTTAATTCGATTTTCCTTGAAAAATAATCCAGTTGAACATTTTCGATTATAGCTTGTCTCTCCTTAGAATTGTTTTTGTTGCACTGATTTTCCGAATAACTTTTCATCACAATTTTGTTACTCATGAGACCCTTTCTTTCCCCAGAGGTCAGTCATTGCTTGTGTAGTGTCTTGAGGTCAAAGCCCAATATCATTTTCAAAACCGCTATTTGCAATAGTAGCATTCAGTGTTAATTTATACTATAATTTGATTCTGAACAGATAATATGTGAAGGCAATTTAAGAACATCGCTTTTTTTTGTACACTGATTCTAATGTTGAGCAACGAGAGGAATTTATTGGTAAATATAATTTCATATCATTCTGTGTTATTACCTCTACAACACACAAATTAGTTTTGGAACTTTAGAGAGACATTCTTCTGTTTCTTACGACGTTCAATAATTAGCTTTCTTCTCACCGCACCACTTTCGTGTATTCTAGACGTTTTATGCCTCTCTTTCATTTTGTTCTTGCAATACAATACAGGCATTTAATTTGAGTTTTTTTATCTGAGCACTCACTAACTGAAACTAATTAAACTGCATTAAAAATAGAAATTAGCACACATAGTATGTATATGTTTGTGACTTACAATGTACACGTTTCCAGAAACATTAAAAACTTTTTTGTTAAATCACAATTAGTTTTTTTTGCAAGCAATTTAATTATTTCATGTAGTACTTTCTAAAACTTACATATTATTTTAGTTTTCTGTGAATTCGTTTCAAACCTGTTGTCAGAATTTTCTTTTTCATTAGAAATTCAAAATTTTTAACTACACTGTCAGAAATTTCTTTAATGTAAAAGAACATGAAATTATCATGTACGCAGATGAAATAAAATATACACATACAGTAACTTTAAAGTAGGTTTACATTAAATTCATTGTATGTGTACAATTAAATATAATGTACACAAGTACATTACATTTACTGAA